AACTGAGCCACCCAGGCGCCCCAAAAGCAATTTTTTAAAGCAAATTGTGCCATAAGCATGAATAAAAGGCATTTTTATAAAATGCATCAAAACAAGAGATGAAGTAAGTCTTTTTGGGAAATGAGATGAAAAAGTCTCTTTTTCCTACTGATGTCCTCCTCTTCTCTGTTTTTTATTACCTGTCACATTTTCCATGTCCACTTAGCTCATACACTGTGTTTCTGATGCCTGCTACACCTGTTTTTTTAGAGGAAGTGTCAATGACCCAACATAACCAATGACCGAACATGGGAAGTACTTTTGGGAAAACAATGGTGGCAATGAGAATATCCAAGACAAAAAAGGATAATATAAAACAAAACAACTCAAGAACAAAAGTGCACAACAACAAAGGGAAAATGCAAGCTAAAGCTCAGATGTTCAGAAAATGTTTTGACAAATTTCATAAATTTGTGGTATATTGCACGTGACAGAGAATGTGGACTGTCTACCAAAATCCATTGCCCTATTCTTCATAGGCATATGACTGGACTACATTTCCTAGTCCCCCTTGAAGTTAGGTGTGGCCAAAGGATTGAGTTCTAGCCAATGGCATATTAGTGGAAGTCTATGTGTCACTCCCAGACCTGATCCATAAAAACTTCCATCTGTTTACTATTGGTGTGTATATACTGTTATTTGCTGCCTTTAGTTGTACATTTCAAGAAAGACAGTAGCTCAAGCAAGAATTATTTTCAAGTAGAGACTAAAAATAAACAGGGAGCTCAGAGATTAGGAGCCTCTAATATTTAAAAATTGTGCGCTTCTAAATGCCAACAGGAGAGAAAACTGAAACAAGGCACTGAACAACAAAGTCCAACCCAGCACTATTGTCTCAATAACCTCAAAGGTAGCTTCCAAAGAGATAAAGAGATGCATGGGTTAAGAAGGCAAACAAATAAAGAACTTAAAAATTATATTTAAGAAGGAACTTTGGGGATCATCTGGTCATAAAAATTTATGGAAGTAAGTATACCAGAAGTTTATCAAGTTTTGAAAGAAATTAGCAGACTCCTCTAAGAAATCTTTAGACTTTAAAAGTTTAGGGGAAAAATGCTTTCATAAGCTTAAAAATTTTTAGATTTTTTTCAAACTTGCATACGCAATAAGCAGGATAAAAATTCACACAGGCTGCAGGAAGTATGTACTCCCAAAGTGACATGGATTAAAAACAGCTCAGGAAGAAGCTTGAGGTGACACAAAGGTCACATAAAACAACAGACAAGGGAATTCCTCGAGACAGCAAATCTAAAAAAATAATCAAGGAATAATCAAGAAATTTCCTTTTCACAAGAACAGACAGGGGTCCTCAACAATCATTCATTCATTGCTCACATCATTGTCACAGACCAGTGATCCTTCTGTGCTCTCAGTTCTCTCCTTTTCCTAATGAAATTTATTATTGTGGATATTCTTCAGTGAGTGGTCTCTTCCAGAGAGTTCTTACAGATAATCACTTCCAATACCAGTGGCAACGAGTGTTCTATTAGAATTCAAGGTCTACCAGGAAACCACCCAAATGTAATCATCATACAAGTAAAGCAGCCAGGGTCAATGCAATCTAATATCCCACACTCGTTCTAACAAATTCTAGCACTTCTTAAGTTTAAATGAAAACAACTTAGTGTCAAAAAAGTGTGTCAAGCAGCCGAGCTGTTGTTTGTTTCTAATTCAAAACCTTGATTATGTTTCTAAAGGTGAAGGCTTTATCTATGAAGGTGAAAATGCATCTAATTATAGATAGAATAAAAGGATATTCATAAATATGTTTGAAAGATTAAAAACCTACCTATTCCTCAGCCAATAATAACTTTGGAATATTATTCAATACTAGAAATAAAGATCAATTTCCCAAGCCTAAAAATATCTCCTTGTATCCAGACTACAAATACAGAAAGATAATTACTAAGTTAGCTGTATTTGTATCAGATAAAAAGCACTGATTGGAAATGAACAGTTACTATATCATTGATGGAACATATGTTAGTTTATTAGGGCTGCCATAACAAAGTACCACAGACTGGGTAGTTTGAATAGCAGAAATTTATTGTGTCAGAGTTCTGGAGGCTGGAAATCTGAAATCAAGGGGTCAGCAGCATTGGTTGCTTCTGAGGGCTGTAAGCGAAGGATTTGTTCCAGGCTGCTCTCCTTGGCTTGTGGATGGCTGTCTTCTCCCTGTTTCTCTTCACATTGTCTTCCCTTTATCTGTGTCTGTTTCTGTATCCAAATTTACCGTCTTTATAAGAATGCCAGTTGTATTGGATTAGGGCCCACATCAATGGCCTTCTTTAATCTAATTACCTCTATAAAAACCCTATCTTCAAATAAGATCACATTCAGAGGTACTAGAGGCTAGGACTCCAACACATCTTTTTTCGGGGTAGGAATACAATTTAAGCCATTAACAGCACTAAAGTCTAAAAAGTTTCTATGTGACAAAATCCCTATTTCAATGGATAAAATGGTAAGAACTGAATTGAAAAGAATTTTCTATGGCTTTATAACCTCCAAACCAACTGGTTTCAATTCCAAGTACCCAAGCCCCTCTACTCCTTAATAATTAGAGAATATACTGAATTCCTTTACTCTTTTAAGGAAATATCTAGTATATGTAAGAGTAAATACAAATCTAAAAAATAAATGAATTTCCCTGATGCCAAAAGAGAAGAAAACTCCCTTCTTCCTCTTCTTTTTCCTAGAGCATTTCCTTTAGAAAACTTACGATTGTAAATCCTTTTTATGTCGCTTTCAGAGGGATGCAAACCTTTTGAAAACCTGAATAATCTCTAGCCAGTTTTGTATCTCAGTGAAGTCTTTCTTGGAAGCCTTGGGACTATCTTTCTGAAATGCGAGCATAAAGCATCCTGTCTTTCTGTCTTTTGGGGAGATTAGTCTAGGTATCTGGCTGGAAGTTGTAACTTCTTGCTTGTTGCAAAGATACAAGAAGTTTTATTTTTCCTTTACATTAAGACAATTAACATGTATGCAAGTGATGGTATTTGCCTAGCTATATAAAAGAGTGAGATGCCTTTCTATTTTTGTAATCTCTTTAGTGGATTTCTTAAGATGTATATCACAGTCTGGTTTAATGCTTATTCAAGTAAAATTTTCCTACATTTGTGAAGAGGATTTCTAGGTTGGTAGAAGACTTTATTTTTAATTAATTCCCCAACAAGGGAATTAATCTCATATTGTTCTTCTTTTTCCTTAATGCAATAGACACACAATAATATAGACATACACACTCAACACTATTGAAAACATCTTCCACAATTATGACCTTGAAACATCCACTCACTTGGCGTAAAATTGAATACACAGAATGGAATATTTATTAGTGACATCCACAGTAATTTATAATTATGTTTGTAGTACCATTTATTTGAATACTGATTATATGCCAAACCGGGCTAAGTGTTTTGGATAGATCATGTGGTGTAATCTTTGCAATAACCTTATTATTTAGCTATCACCACTATTACTAGAGAAGAATCCCAAAGCTATCAATGTGTAAATAATTTAGCCAGGTTCCATTCCTAGAAAGTAGTAGAGAAATGGGCCCATCTGACTCCAGAGCCTGTACTCTTCATCACTAGGTAATCCTAGTTTGCAGCAAAGGAGACCCATCAGATACCATGTCAGCACTGATTCCAGCTGGATTCCTGATAACTGGGTTTGCTTGCGGGTGCTGAGCCAATCTAGCCATGCTTGCCACCCTTTCCATGTTGTTAAAGCAGTGGGGCATAATGGAAGTTTTCTGTCCTGAACATAACGTCCTTAAGATTCTCTTACTGCACTGACTTGATAGCTGTATGATCTTGGAAAAGTTATTTTACCTGTCTTACACTCAGGTTCCTCTTCTGAAGGCAGTGCCTAACAGCACCTTAACTATGACTACAAAGGAACCATGGGAAGGATCTGCTAACAACATATGTGACCGGCTCTGACTGAAGATGGAAATCAACAAACCAGAGTGCAGTAATGGCCCTTGTTCAGCAATATGTCTCCTAGCAATTAGGACAATGTTGAGCATAAAAGGTAATCAAAATCACATGAAAAAATGAACTAACCAAACAACAATAACAAATGTAAGGCATCATTTTCTGTGCGTTTTATATTGTCATAAACAATAAAGATGGCATAGATTTAACACATTTTCACATGAATAAGATTGAATCTTATTGCTTTCTCTTACATCAAATTCTTCCAGTATACTAGTACCAAGTAAACGCTGGATGCAAAATCCCATTTATAGCCACACTCAGGCTAGACATTAAGAATGGAAACCACACCTTTCTGGCCATATAACATGACTTTAGAATCCTACTTTGTCCATTCACATTACCTTGTTCCCTTCCCAAACCTAATCAAACCCCCATTCCAAAGATCCTCATTAAATAAGATTTCCTAGACTCAAGAAACTTTGACTTTGCTTCCCCAGTTCTGAAGCATTGCCAAAGCTCTCCTGAGGTGATGGTCTCCCTTAAATAAGTAAGCAGTTAACTCAGCTTTGTCTCAGATTGTGTTGGTGACATTTGGGAAGCTAAACTTTCAACAAAGCCTACAACTTTTCTAGGGCCTTAAGGATTATTTTAAACTGCAAAGCCCTCTATAAACACAGATTTCTTGATATAGCAGTCATGATATTAACAATATAACTGACATTATAAGTGAGCATATGCATTCTTGTTGCATTTAGCTCTTTCATAGATCATGCTTTCAATTTATAATAAATGACAAGAGAACAAGATATTTTCATTATGTTCACTTGTGATACAAATGGTTCAAATCCATCAATTCACATTAAGAAATTGTAAACTAAGATTTTAGATCCAAAATAAGAATTCAAAACAGCATTTTTATTTTTACTACCTCATAGCATTTCTTTCTACAATAGGAATTTCAGAGTTACTCCTTCAGGAGAAATAGTTAAATGCAACTTCCTTAATATGAAGTCTTACCTTTTCCAGTTTTGAAAGAGCAAGAGAGTAACAGTCTTTGGCTCTGAATTGCATGAATCTCATGTTGGCTGGGTGAGTAAGTTCTGTGATAATACTGAGACTGGAAAACAACCTACGTTAAAAACAAACAAACAAAAATTTGCATTACACTAACAGCAGCAGGCATTGCCACATAAACTGTCCGTACAATGCAAGAAAAATGGAACACTATTTTCCAAAGAATATTTTAACCAACATTTTAGCACTAGAAGAAAAATAAATTTAGTAATTTGGCTTTTATTAGACATTTCTCTCTACAATTATGAAATGGCATAGAAGAGAAACTCATGAAGCTGATATAAGAAGCTACAAGGTGACTTTGTGGATAATGTTAAAATAGAAATTTGTAAGATGAATATGCTGATTGACAAAGATATCATGTGATGAGCTTATTGTCCATAATATGAGTTCTTTGATCTTCTAAGATTCCCTATTATCAAAGTATGCAATTTTAAACGTCAAATCTTGCTACCATGAACTTCTGAGAAGAGAAAATAGTTCAGCTGAAATAACATTTCATTATAATGAATTGAGGCCAAGGCTCAATTGATAGTGTTATTCTAAAGGATCCTGAGTTTTAACCCCATAGCTTTGCATTAACTTTCTTCCTATTCACCTCCTTCCCCCAAAACACACACACACACGTGCACACATACACACATGATAGTAGTTATCAGATCATAACTTCGTTATTGTTATTTTTACTTACTGAGGGCAATATTTAATATCTAAGTTAACAAGTCATTATCAAGTGTTTGTGATTGGACAGCTCTGGTCTCCAGGACATAAAAAGAAGTATAAAGTGAAACTCCTGCCTTTAAATTAGACCCTACTACCTACAGGGAACTACAAAAATTTATAAATTATAAGGCTGTACATATTTTTCTAGGGGTGATAAATATGGCTGACTGAGTCTTCACAGATTATGTAGCATTAAGACACCAGTGAATGGATAGCTTATGAGAAGCATCTAGGACAGTTTTGAGATATAAGGCTAGAAAAGTAATTTGTGAGAAAAGCATAGTTGCAAACCGACAAAAATTTATTTCATCTTTTGGGAAATTTTCATCTTCTCTGAGAAATACAGATTTTTATCTTTCATAAATATTATTATTCTAATTTTGGATGCATTTATGATTACTTGGATGATATAATCCTTTTCTAACACATTATATCACATTATATATATAGCTATATATTTGAGGTCGGAGTAAGAGTGAGTGGTAATATGACGGAGTGACCTGGTCATTGTACTTAAATGACTTAGAGAGTGGAAATTAGATAGAACCAAAAAAAGTGCATATGATGTACCATTTCTGTTCTGTATAAATGAATCTGTACCATTGTTATTTTAAACTGAGAAAGTGAATGCATTTATCTAAGTCTGCCATCTAGTGAAAATCTGTAACTAAAAATACATAAATAATGAAATGTTTTATTGCATTGCCTTTTATATCTACAAAGTATTACTTACATTCAATTATAATACATTTATAAATTTGGTTCTGAAATAGATTTAATTATATATCTTTAAAATACTAAATATAAATCTATTTCTGGGCCTTAACATGGCTTAAAACACATTCTGAATATAAGACATTCTAGAAATAAAATGACATAAAAAGTCTATCTTCCCCAGGTATGAGGATAATAATAAAGCAATATTATAGTTGAAAAATGATATAGTTTTTTCTATTTAAAACTTTTCTACAATTAATTTATGTTCTGATTGAGAGATGTAAGTATCATTGTGGAGATGTGCAAAATCTCTATGGAATAGTCCCCTGCCTGAATTAATTTATTCAAAAAGTATTTTTGACAGACATTCCCAGGTATGCTAACCAATACAGAGATGAAAAACACACTATATACTCTATTTCCCAGACTACTGGGAGAACTCTGAGACTAGCTGCAATTATATATTCAAGCAAAACAAACATAAGTACATACAAATCTGGAAAATGTTTACAATATTTTAATAAAAATACTGAGCTAGTGTGCTACACTATAAGTTTTGATCTGTTGTGGTGGCTGGGAATGATGTTTCTGAGTAATAGGGGGTATACATTAATATATAGGTACACACATACACTTAGATACATGAATCACTAGTTTTAGACTACAACTGACTATCAACACGAAAATAAATATGAATATAGTTTTTTACAAATACTTTTTAAACACTTTAGGTCTGAGTCCAAGTTAGTAATAAATGAGACTATAATAAATATCAGATATCTCCTGTATTTAAATTTATCCATGTAAACCAATCAAAATAATAAAAAATATTTGTATGCTATATAAAGGAATCATTCTTGTATTTATACATATTCATTATCAATATTTTCAATTATGTCATTTTCCATGTGTATAGGTATGTTATTTCCTCAATGAGACTATGACTACTTGTGCCAAGCTGAAGACAATATTCCCTTTTTTATTTTTTATTTTTTTAGCTTGCCATTTATGCTCTTAGCGTCCGGGGATGCAAGTCTTCTAAATGAGCAGCTCTCCCCACTCTTACTTTTCCCCCAAACCACTTTTCACATTGTAGCTAAAACAATATTTTAAAACTCTATTCCTGTCATGAAGATCAACTTGTTACAAAGCTCTGCAAAGCCATCACCTCAGATCCTTTGGCTATGCTGCCCCCATGTGGAATGCTCTCCTCTTCTCTCTGCCCACTTTGTCTATCTTGCAGGAACAGATTATCAATTTCTCAGGGAGGTGTTCCTTGATCCACCGGATGAGATCATATATTCTTGTTGTCTGGATCTATATAACATTCTACTTTTTTTTCAGTAGTTGCCACACTTCTCATTCTCCAGTTAAAATTTTTTTTTAAAGATTTTATCTATTTATTTGACAGAGAGAGAAAGAGAGGGAACACAAGCAGGGGAGTGGGAGAGGGAGAAGCAGGCTGATGCGGGGCTCGATCCCAGGACCCTGGGATCATGACCTGAGCCGAAGGCAGACGCTTAACGAATGAGCCAAGGCACCCCTCTCCAGTTAAATTTTTAAATGACTTGTTTAATATGTTCCCAGCGTAGACTATCAGCAACCCAACGCCAGGAAGCCTTAATCACTCCTGATCACTATGTCTGCCTTCAGCACCACGGCAGCCATAGAGATAGCATCCTGTATAGTCCCCAAACTTACTAGATGCCCCATCATACCACGTGAATAAATCACAACTGCAGGTGTTTGTAGAGGTCCTCCTGACCTATACGGGGTTAATGCGGGAATTTCTCCGTTCCAAACAGATCACAGATCCATGACTTGACTGAATGTTTCCACTGATAGAGCACTAGTTATCTTAGCAGTTTGATCAGCTAAATTTTAGGGGGGGAAAGCAAAAACAAAAATATCTTCATATTAAAACAAAATCAGCCCAAGGGACTTTTGAACTAAGTCACTTCTAGACTTTTACAATGCAGATAAATCAATGCTAAATAAATTAAATAAAGAGACCATTAGACTGAGGAGGTCCTAATACTTTAGCAGGCTACTTAAGCAAGCCAACATCTCAGCCTGTAAATGCCTCAAGGCTAAGAAATCAAAACCAAAGACAACCAATCACAATCAACTAGGCTTTCTCAAATAATACAACCTCTTAAGCTGTTGCCAAATAATTTCCTTGCTTTGCTTCTGCCTCTTCTCTGTAAGTCCCTCACTCCTGTCCTTGGAGTGTTTCTAACCACTTCCTCTCTGGCACTGCCAAATTTGAACTGATTTTTACTCAGATAAACTCTTAAAATTTTTAATATGCCTTAGTTTGTCTTTTAACATTAACAAGTATTTACATTTGTACCCATTCTGTATTAAACTAATGTTTAACTATCCTGTGTGCTCTCTAGAAAAATATCTGCTTCTCAACTTCTAGAGAAAGTTTTCTCATCTTTCCTTTTCCTGAAGCACAGACTTAGGCCGTTGGTTGGAATCAGCCATTTTTTTCCTATATAGGATAGAATGAGCCAGTAAGTTGTCTTCAATGTTGCTTTTTTCCCCCGTTAAATGAGAATAATGAGAGATGCCGTTGACATGCCAAACATTCCCAAAGTAGAGCACTTTGATAGTCTGACATAGCCATTTTGAAGTAGTTGTTTTTAGTTCAAGGCATATTTTGGCATGGTTGTTTAAATTTAGTTTAGATATTAACACTTGTTCAAAAAATTGTAAAAACGGGCAATATTTTCAAATATACCAAGTACTTCTTAGGTAAAAGTTTAGCAAGAGAAACCTAAATTTTAAAGTGAGGACCTGCTTTTCTTTCAATTTGGAAAATTGCACAAACTTCAGGAGTGCTCATCAAATTTTTGAGTGTTGAAACTTTGTATGCCAAGCTCTATACTCTGGATCTGGAAAATGAAATACTTCCTGAGTGGATTCTCTGGAAGAAACATGCAGGGGCCAAGCCAGCAAATCCATAATTGCCACACTGGATAAAGACACACTGAACTGTGTAGTCCAGTTTTCAATTATAAAACTATGTTTACGTTATAAACGCAATTCCAGATGAAAAGGAATTCTCCCCATGCTCCCAACTCTCCTCTAACTCTTCCTAAACCCCACCCCCAACCCCACCCCCAAATATATTGCTAGTGGATTAATGAGATTCTCCTATTTTTGCCTTTGGTCTTTTGGGACTGAGTAACTCTGAAAGGTTCTTGGACAATCTGGAAAGAATAAAGGCCTGCCAAGTGAAGTTGTATGTCCTAGTTAAGCAGGGGTCCAAGTGATCAGTTTGAGCCTCTGAATAACAACAAATTTAACTTCATTCCAGACTGGCAAAACAGGTGATACTAGTTACATCAATAACTCGTGAATTAGAGCACCGTTACTTTCATTTCATGCTTGAATTCCATCTCATTCTTGTCTCCTGGGCTCTAATACAAGCACAGATTGAAGATTTTTCTAACATATTCCTTAGGTCGTTTCAAAAGCTGAAAATGTAAAAGTGAAAATGCCCCCACAGCAAAATGGAATGTCAAAATACTCAAGTTAAAATGGCGTGGGCCCAAAGAGCTACACGGTTCTTTACAAACGCTAAAATAAAATGTAGCATTCGTCCCATACAGAGCAACAGCATAAGGTCATCTTAAGTTGCTGAATGCGTACAGATGCCAAGCAGATTAGAATTTGGTTCTCCTCTGAGGAAGTTAATGCTGTTCATGAAGATATAAGGACTAGCTGAGATATTTTAGAGATACAATTATTGAAATAAATTTCTAGGCCCAAGACAGAGCTTCTCCTGCTGGGTTGCCATGTCAGCAAACCAAAACTTAGATAACTTTTGTGTCTCTGTGATAAAATTAATTTGCATGTCAGGACCCACAGAACGGAGGCTGCCTCAGTGCCCCAGCCCACATCACAAATCTAAACTTAAGTCACATGTATTTACAGTAAATACCTATTAAGGAAACCTAATATACACTAATCTCAATCCTCGAATCAGCTTTAGCTAGCTCAGCTTATGCTAAAAAACAGGACCTGCTAGTCTGACCAGGAAATGCCTGACCTCCTAGCCCATCATGCTGTTTACACGGTGCCTCTTCTAACATTCTATAAATCTTGCTCTTGACCAAAATCTCTCCAGAAAAGTGTTCCACCTTGTGAAGCACTGTACTTCTCCAATCCACGGGTTGTTTTCCCTTGAACAAAGGCTATCAAGCTCATTACTAAATCGTTTTAGTTTTGTCATTTGATACCCGTAAATGCTCCACTTGACCAGAAACAAGGTATACCTAGTCAGCCAATCCCCAAATGCCAAGCCAACTCTGGACTCTACACTTATTTCTTCGTTCCTTGTGCCTTACTCATTTTCTGTTTTTCTCTTTCTTGTTCCTTGTTCTTTATCCTATGGAGCCTTACCCTTTAATCCTAAATAGCCTGGTATCCAACCACTGTGACTAGATTTCTGGTTGCCTATTGTTCACTTATGAGGATAATCTGGAATTAGTCATCTGTCTGTAAGGAATTTCATGCAGGGTAGTGGGCAGAGAACCTGAAAGAAAACTGGGAGTGGAGGAAGGGAGAATGGGAAAGAGAGTTGAGATTGGTATTAGTCCACAGCAGATAATCAGTAATTATCTGTTTAGGGTTTCAGCTAAGGAGTGATTATAATGATTGATCTTGGAACTTAATCTGGTAAGGAGGGAAGAAAAGCTCTCAGGTGACTAAGGACAGTGAAAATGTATTTGAACCAGTGGACAGTAGGTTCCAGTGGAGACACAGGACTATTAAGAATTGGGGGTATTAGAAGAAATGAAGTAGAAAATAAACAGTAGTACTCATAGACCTGAATGAAATTGAGACGATGGTGGGGATTATTGGTACTTCAAGGGAAAGGCTGTGACCAGAACAGGTGGCTATAAGGTAAGATATTGAAAGTATCGTCTACATAGAATTGTTGAAATCATCAAGAATGATGGTAGATACAGGGTTGTCAAGAGTCACAGTGAATCAAGAACCAAAATCTTCAAGGAATGTGGGAATGTGACCTCAAAAGTGGTAACTGACTGCACCTATAAAATGAAACGACCAAATCTGCATGATTTTGGTCATTTGTCCATATAAATAACATTTTGTACATCATGGGGATCTATCAGTGTCTTACTTTTTTATTTTATTATGTAAGACTAGCCTAGTTTAGCATGCATTGACCAGCAGCAGCTTAAGGACTACTCTATTTAAAAGTTTCATAGAATTTTTTTTTCCTGAAAAATATTGTTATGTACTTAGTGAAATGATGATAATGCCACCACACATATATCTGCTCTTAGTTGGTCAGTTAGTTTTAAAAGATTAGAGCCTTTGCACCTTTCAGTAAGATGGGGATTTATTATTATTTATTTATTATTATCTTGAAATCAAAATAACTCATTCATAGACTATATAATAAAAGCAAATCAAATCAATTTAAACTTTATACCATAATAAAAAATAAACCATAATAGAAATAATTTCCTGGTAGGTTGAAAATTAAAATGGTATGTTTAATCAAACAGACCAAAGACAAATTTGTCCTAGTTAAAAATGTAACTAGCTTTTGTCATGCATGGAACCAAAAAGTATGATTTCACTTTGTTCACTGGCTATAAATCTCATCCCTCTGAATTAATTTTCCACTTATAACTTCTTTTTTCATTCTCTAGAGAAAAAAAATTACTTACATGTCTGTCATATTTTAAACATGTGCTATGTGACCTTTAAATGTACTATTTCATTTAGTTCAATAACTAGTTAGCTATATTCTAAATGAATTGCCACATTACAGTAACTTTAGAGGGTACATTTTTCTTCTTCTGGAATAATAGGTTCTCACGCAAGTTCAGAGTAAATTTTCCAGATGCTGTGACAGATTATTCACCTACTTAATTTCTGGTCCTTACATTAACACCGCAAGAAGGGTTAATTATTTTCCACATGCATTTTATAGATGAGGGAAACTGAATTTCTATGAGGTTAAGAAACATACTTAAAGTCACATAGTGTCTGCTGGAACCTCGGGGATAGAGGTTCCAGATGAAGTTTGTTGCTATACTGTTCCAAAGTCTGTGGTTTTTCTATTCTGTCACATGAAAGTGATCATGATAGTGCTAATAATTAGTCACTAACATTCATTGAGTAACTGAAAATGACCAGCCATGTGCTACAGCATTATATATTTTTAAATCCCAAACAACCTTGTGATTAAGACATTGAGGTTTAGAGAAGGAAAGTAATTTGCCTAAAATCATATAATAAATAATCAACTTAAGTGGTACTCACATCTAAGCTTTCTCTTCTGAATTCTGAACTCAAACAACAAACTGATAATTACCCTCAATATATGCTTTGCTACAATATGAAAGTATAAAGGTGAAGCAAGGGAAGATGATGAAGGAGTTCAGATTGTTTTATTTACTTCCATAATTTGGTAGCTCAGATATTTTCTTTAGACTCCCACAAAACTCAGAAAACTAAAATAATGATCTTTTAGATATTTGCATTTTAAAATGATTTCAGAAAGAACCATTTCAAGTGACAGAGATGTCTTCATTTATAGGTAATTTTGACTTTGCTTATAACATGGACTTTTCTCTGGTTTTCATTCTTACCCAAAGATAAGCATAATGGAAATTCCTATCTCAGTAAGTTTAATAAATGAAAGACAGGAAAATAGTGAGGATAAGGTCATGACTTGGTTCTGAACATGGGTAAATTATCTGTTCACAGTCTTACAATATTTCATTCTTAGTAATCCAGATTGTAAATGCATACTTTTGGCCACTGCCAGGCATAAAACCAAAATTAGATCATGCATGGTCTCTCATAAATCTTGACTGCAACTGCACAGGATTTAGAATTTGTTATTGTTAAACTATATCAGAAAACAGATTTGTTATTCTATTTATTTTTAAAAGAATGACCCTGAGTTAAAAATTAACCATACGGTGCCAGTATTGGAGGCTAAATAAGCACTTGTTTTAGGATCAAATGAATGAATATAACTTCAGCGTAAGTGTCTCATGTTCATTTCTTATATACAGAGTCAGAATCAAATATTTCACCAATATTTAGTAGTAAGTAAGCCACAGGGCTGAGTTACTGAGACATTTACCTGAAAAGGGTCTGCACATTTACAATCGTTTTGGCGTCTGCCATGTAGTCTTCCTCCGCACTCATGGTACTCTCCTTGTCCACAACCACCATGTTGGCAGCAAAAGTCACTCCACACCTGAGTAAATCATCTAGGCTTTGATAAAAATCAACAGAGAAGAATGGACTTTCAATAAATCACCATACTAGGATCAGTGCTTGCTTACCCACTGGACTTTGTATAGGCTGCCCTTAGAGACGGCTTTCACACAGTTTGCCCTGGCAGATAGATGTCGATGGGAATTAAAATATAGTATTCCCCACTGATATGAAATAATTTGTATTTTTGAGCTGTTCATGTTTCATTAGATCTCAACCATTTCAAAGCATTATGTGTTAAGAATTTTTATTTAATATTTACTAATTATATAACTAAGCCATGAAAAACACCCATTTTGCAATCAAATAGAGTTAAAGCATGCTAGAACTGTGTTTTTATGGTTAGCACACTATTTCAAAGACATGACATTTATATATATTTTTAATCCTTATGATACTTTGGTAAAAGTAGAAATGAGTACTTATATTAATTTAGATGGTCTAGCCCAACAAAGAAATATTAAACTGTGGTTTATTTTTAAATGTGTATTATTTCTTTGTGTAAAGCTATGTGTTAAAGATTGGTTCTACACAGCCACGAGCATGAAAAATATATAAATATCAGCTGTATTCAAACTTACCATTCAGTCAGCCTAAAGCTTTTTGAGCCAGTGATTTAATAACCTCATTTCTTTGATTGCGTGAAATAACTGCTAAACCAGGATAGAAGTTCCTATGAATTATAATAGTCTTCTCCCTTATCACTGATAAACACTATCGTTCTCCCATCGAATTAAAAGAAAATGTTGCCATTAAAGCTGAAACAAAGAAACCACTATCTCCCTGACTCTGCTTCATAAAACTAGAAAAATATAACTGAATCAGATAAAGGAGACTAAACTTGAAGGAGTGTAAGAATGTCCTAAGTACAGAGTTGACTGAAGACAGAGAATTGGGCTAATTGATGCCCACATGTTCTGATTTAAAATAGGAAGTGGAGAACTTAAAGAAAAGTAGTTCTTTTAGATTCTTAAATTGCAGGCCAGTTCCCTGAGGATCTTTTTCCAAGCATATGATTGGCTGAACTAGCCACATCAAGTGAGAGAGTATTACCAAAGCTCTGAGCCCAAGATCCCCACGAGTAGTCCAGAAAAAAATATATATATTTTGCTTGACTCAGGAATAATGTTCTGTGGCAGAGATTTTATGGCTAGAACTGTGGAAACAGAATGTTATTCCAAATAAATTTCCTATGATGAGAGGGGCCAGGGCCATAATTTCCAATTAATATGATGATCAAGTTTAATCCCTGGAAATACTTTATTAGGATGTGTCTTTTAACTTGGAAATTCAAAATTGTTCATATATCAAAATACATTTTTTTTAAAAAGAAGTAGGTGGAAAATTAATGTGATATGGTCCCTTATGGGCCATAAAAATGATGCCCAAGTCATATGCCTTCGATCCACCTTACTATAATTTTAAATCACTTTCTATTTCAGCTCTTATGATCTTCCCCCCTCAATAAAAATGATCTCCCCATTATAATTATCTATATAAGAAAAGGGAAAGATAAGGTGATAGAAGGTAAGTTTGATTGTTAAAGGATATATAGATACAAGTTATGATGGGAAAAATGAATATTTCATCAATAATAAATCAATGAAGTTGAAACTTGACAAAAAATTTCACTCTGTGTACCTGTGCTAAATGGCTAATAGCTACATCTATATGTATCAGTTAATTCCATACTCTAAATATTGGCTGTTGTAGTTTACATATAACCTTGGCAAGTGATTTTAGTAATTATGATTAAATATGAGTTTAAATCTATAGAAAATAAAATTGGAATGGCATTTCAGAACCACGTAGAAACATTTTGTTCTTCAGGTTTTAACCTTAAATTATTTATTTCTATATCCATTTAATACTACATTTTATTCTTTTTTTCCTTTTTTTAATCTGTCATGATTTCTCCACACTATCCTATTTCCGAAAGCCACTGCCTATTTTTTTAATTCAGCACGGTTGCTTTACACAGTTTGGCCACCAGATGGCCGCCTAAGAAAAAAAGACAATATTCATGAAAAAAGATAATCTAAATGGCAACAACTTCCTTTTTACTGTTTTCCCAGCCGTCCTTTTCAAGGAGAACTATAATGTGAATGTATGAATATATGGGACTGTTTGTGAGTGTTTTAATTCATTCAAAGGTGTTTTTGTTTTTTTAATGAAAATTTCAAACACTAACAAAAGAGAAGAACACAGTGAACCTCCATATTCTAATTACCCAACCCAGCTTCAATAATGATCAACTTGTTGCCAATCCTGTGTCACCTCTAATCATAGGAATTTGATCCTCTTGGTTCTTTTCCTCACCATAAACACTCTTATGGAGAAAGAATTCATTTCATAGTTTACATCAGCAAAGACAGGTGGGAGGTTTATTTATTTTTTAAATACTCTGTTTTTCTAATGAATTTCAATAGAATACTACCATTTCAAAGTAACATTACTAGTGAAGAATATAGGTTGATTTCACGTTTATGAATTTAAATAGTTATTTAGTACAGCTAACTACATCTTAGTTGATTAGCATTAAGAAAACTGATAATGCAAACTATATTAATGTAGAGTAGAGGTTAAATAAATGTTAGTCAGTTTGCTCTTTAATGTATCCACAGCCAATAAACGCTTCCAAAGTTCTAAAACTTTGTTTTTTCAATCTACAGGACAAAACATAAGCATGAAATTTCTTGATTAGTAACTTTAGCATTTTGTTTTGAAGGCTCTGGCTGACTTTTTTTAATGGAAAGCTAGCACATTTTATAGACATATTAGTTTTATGATCTTTAGTTTTATATTTCTTATAAATCATGTTCATCCATATAAAAGAATTTGTATTTTAATACTAACACATTGCACACATTTGACGTTTTAATTAACAAATTTTTAGAAATTATAGACTGATATATGTTACCATAATAAAGGAAGCTCTAAAGGAAATGCTCCAGTTTATAAATCTGACTTAAAAGGAGCATCTCTAAATTATTTGAAGATTTCCAGGAGTTACCACAATGATATCAATGCATCGCAACATTGAACAGTTAGATTTTCTCTACCCCTAGGCCCATAGGAATAACGTTATTGCTAGAGACAACACAAAACTGAAATAGCTTTAGAAACTAAACAAAAGTGATAAAATTCACATGCAGCAAGATTTGTTTTAATTCAACAACAGATTACTGCTTAGGAAGTTTGAATACAGGATGTATAACACGAGAACACAAGCTGTGCATGCAAATACACCATATTTGCAATACGCAAATGGCAAATTACACTCATGCAACACGGGGGCACAGCACATGACAAACCACAGGACACCACACCAGTTACTGTGCCAAAGATTTTGTCACCTACTTGTCAATAGAGCCCACCATGTAGTAAACCATTGGAAACCAACAGATTGCATCCAGAAAATGCATATCTGGCCTAAGTAGCAGATGGGTTACAAAATGAAACACAATGTCACAACAGTGGCAGCGCTGCTAGGGAAAGGAAGTAAGCTGACTTAGTTTGCATTTCCAAAACTAAACACTGTTTGACAAGATTGACAAAGTGCCTTTTTTCTTAACATTAATTAGGAAATATCATTTGTACTTGTTATGAATACACAATACACTCAGAATTATAAAAACTTGTATTTCTGCTTTCTAAATCAGAAACATTATGGCATTATTCTACAAAAATACTGAAATGATATTCTTAATGATAACTAAAGAGTTTTATCAATGCGTTTAAAAATTATTCATGCAGAATAAGATGAGGAATTAATGATTTTTCTTAGATGGCCCAAAGCATAGAGAACTAAATTAGCATGCTTATTAAGAGCACCTTTCTCTAAGGAATATACACAATTAAATACAACCCTTACTATATCAGTATATTAATCAATAAATAGGGTATATGCACCCATGCAACACATGTATTAAAGAAAATTAAAATGAAAGTAATTCACTTTTTAAATAATTGACTTACTCCATATATATTGTTGAGCAAATATTTATTGAAATCTTTACTTATATGCATATTTGAGGAAAGCATCATAAACCTGGATGCTTCCTTAAAAAATCACTTAATCTATTATATTCATTTTACAAAGTTATTAATTCTTTCATGCATTTATTCACTCAGCATATATGTATCCAAAACTTTTTATTTAATAGACAATTCAGTATACTAAGGCATATGAGAATATCGTGTTACCTTGTACTATAAGAAATACAGTTTTTGGAACACACGTATAAGAGCACACAATTACAATATGTGTTTTAATCAGAAAGAATAAACAATAGGTTGCACTCAGAAGGCAGAATCAGGGGTCATTTCACGGAGGTTATGTTTAATCTGGATGTTTGCCAGTAAAAGAGAAGGAGGGGAAATTCTAGGAAAAGGGAAGTGTAGCACCTATAATATCCAAGCTAGATGAAGTCCTTTCCTCCCTGACTTATTTTCTTCCTGTTGATCATCCTCTTAGCCCTTTACACTCTAAAGAAAAAGAATGTACAATACAGTGAAATGAAAAAAGATGATCTTCCAAAAAATACCACTATTGTAATGTTGATCAATTCCTCCCATCATTAAATTTCTTTGTACTCATTTTAAAAGGCCCCATATTATTACATATTATAAATGTACCACAATTCATTTTAAAATTCCTCAATTACTCAGTTTGTAAGTTATTTTCACTTTTATGCTGCTGAAGTTACAAGTTATTTCCAATATCTTGCTATTATAAATAATACAGGTATGAACATCTTTGAATGACATTTTTCTAGCGTTAGTTTTTTAATCATTTACTGCAAAACATTTATAGAGGGATATTAGTGAATCACAGAATATAAATATCTTTAAAGCTCATGATGTATATTCTTTCAACAAATAGTAGCAGTCCCAGTAGCAACCTTTTTATAACGTCTTCTAGTTCTCTGTCTGAGCACTGTTCTGCTTCTTAAAAATAGAAGTGTCATTTTCACTGCTGATTCAAGACCCTCCATGTCTCTCTTGCCCTACCTCATGATTATAGAAGCACATATACGAGGATGCCAAGTGCCACAAGGCTGGGGCGGTAGAGATTTTGTGGTGATCTGAATAATCATTTTGCCTGTGTCTTTTTTTTGGTTGTTATTTTGTTTCATCTCGCTTTACTCCCATATAGTTTTTCAGATTAAGTGAGTAGTTCAATAACTTATGTGGCTGAGATAGATCCATAATCCTTCATTATTAATTGCAGACATATATTCCCTGGCTGGAATAACTACACTTTTAATCTGACTCATTCTTTTAAATTCAAATAATTTCAATTTCTTTATTCTATCTTCTGTATTCTAAAGCTTAGTAAAACAAAAGTAAATGATGTTATTGAAGAATTCAACTTAATAAAGATACTGAAAATCTGTGTAATAAATAGTACTGGAGTCACTGAGGACAAAATTAAGTCCTTACTTTATGCCAACCCTTCTGTTAGAGTTAAAACTGAAAATATGGCCTTTGTATTTTGTTGCCTTGTCCAGTATGAATCACTAAATTTACTAAGACATCAATATTATTGCCTTGTTTTAGGAAACCCATGAATTTTACCCACATGCAATTCTGCCACAAATGTGTATTTACAATGTGCAAGCAATCTTACACATCCTCAGAAATTACTTCAGGATTTTCATTGCATAGCATGGTTCATGTTTACATGGATTTGGCTCTGTTACAAGGTAAATCAAACCCTTGAAACCTAGCAAATACATAATCTTGATGAAGCACATCTAATGTAAGGAGTCTAATGTGCCCTGCTTTTTGCAAAATGTAACTTATATAGCAAATAGATTTATCTACTACTTCTATGGATAAAGGTAGTTTATAACGAAACTTGAACTATCAAGAATACAGCAATTGTACATTTACATGTATTATGTTAGCTCATTTAAATAAACTGGCAATAGTGTTCATGTCACTAAACTGCTTAATAACTAATGAGTAACATAAATGATATCATAGGCTCTTAATAGACTAATCTTTCTAATTATTGAAAGTTAATTGGCAAGCATAACCTTTACATTGAAAACCACGAAGCAAAAACATAAAACATTAATAAAAATAGGAAATGTCCCTTTCTTATGTTACACCCCCAAAGTACAGTTGAAGAATGGAATGTAGAAAAATAAAACCATTAACGCAATAGGATAAAATGTATGCATTTTTTAATCTGATTGCTAAATAGAGAAGACCTATCTATGTTAGATATTACATTATGGAAAACTAGTAAAAATAATTGCATATTTAACCGTAAAGCTCATCACAAAAATTTTAACATATAAGAAACAAACATTTAAAAATGTGCTACTTATACAAAATTTACAGATCCTATTTGCTTAATATGTAAAAAAAATTTCAAACCAATAAAAGATAAACCTAACAGGAAAATAGATCTAGCACAAAATAAATATGCATAGACCAAAATGAAACATGCTGAATCTAACTAGTAATATAAGAAATAAAAATTCAACATGCACAAAAATTTATGTTAGTAAACAGAAAAAATTGAGCAGATCATTAATCACCATCCTAACTGTAACTGTGTTAAGAAAGATGACAGCTTATGAGTCTAAAACATCATATTCTTACAAAAGTTTTCATTATAAAATTGCCAATATATTCAAATGTTAATTAGCTAGTGTTTGTTAGGAAGTGAAAAGGTTTGTGGATTTGCATGGATTTGCAAAGTTGAAGATCATTATTTCCCACTTAACCAATAACTATAATGGACTTAATTGCTGATTTTTAAATTCAAGAAATGAATGTAGTGAGACAGTTTATTTTGTTAGCATTTAGTAATTCTATACTTAAGTAGTTTATTTCTTAAAAATATATAAGGAGTTTCATTTCAACTGCTTAAAATAAATCTCCTTTGTTTGTTACTGGGTTTTCACCCAAATCCACTCATCAGTTTGAATAATGGCAATGTCACTTTCTTGATTGGAGGAAGGGGGGAAACTGACATTTCCTGACTGCCTTTTCTAAGTGAGATATTGCACTAGTGCTTCATATACAGTCTTATAGAGTCTCAACATTACTTGTTAAGATAAATGTTCTACTCATTTTACACATGAGAAAACTGAAGCTTAAAGAAATCTGATAACATGCAAAAAGGGCTTTTTACCAAGAAGGTAAATAAGCTTAGACCTTATCTCAGATCTGTATGAGTTCAAAATTTGAATGTCTTTAATAAAGGACTCTGATATGTCAGACAATTTATCATTGTTTGTGAAATAAGCTGAAGTTTGCTTGACACTATATATGAAAAGAAGATTGATGTAATAAAAGGATTGTGTAAATAAGATGTAAAATATAGGAACATAGGCCTGGATCTTGCATTTCAACTTTGTGTAGCTTTGGGTAATATATTCCAAAGCTTTTGACTTTTGTTTCCATCTCTTATATGAAATGATATTATCAGATGACTAGATGACCTTTAAGGTTAGGGTGGTAATCAAAATATTCAAAATCAATATGGCACAACAACAGACCAAACTAAACAGATGGCCGTCCAATCAGAACTGAGACCACCCCTCATGAGCCAGTATCAAGTGCAAAATGTTTTCCATTGTGACTGGGTTCCGCTTAGTTACCAGATGAGATCTAGAAGGCTTTCTATTTGGAAACATTAGGAACACTTACCTCGACATATTATGTTTGTGAATATTATCAATTTAATTTGCATTTTTAAATTCCTACTTATGACATCTGTTATTATTTATTTGTTATGTTAAATTAATTGGTCTTTCAACTAAACTTCCTAAATAGTCGTGTATTGAATATTATTTTCAGCAATTCTCATGTAAATTTAAAACAAAATCAAAACCCACTAAACTAATAATTGTAGAAGTGTGCACAATCTTTAGTGTATAAATTCTTACAACATGGAGAAATTTGAAGAAGAAAGCAACACATTTCTTTGTAACATTGTAGGATACATTGCAAAATACTAGGCATGGCACAGCAGGATGAATCTCATTTTTAAGAAAAAAAATGATTGCATACAACTTCCTGGAACATTATTTATTAGTGTTTAGTTTTTGTTTCCTCATTCTTGACCAAAATAGCAGGGGACAACAAATAAAAATGGTAGATACCACTTTCCGGAAGTCATCAGGAAGCTAATAAACTTTACAACATATACTTTCATCCTAACCCTTTGGAAGAATAGTGAAACCCTACAAAAATCATCTAACAAACAACACCATGGAAATATTTGAAGTCCAGAATGTAAGTCATCAGAAAAGCAAGAAAATATGTAATGCAAAATAATCCAAAGTTAAAATATATTGTTACTAAAAAGAATTGACAATGTATTTTTTCATATATCAAAAATCTGTAAATTAAGCAAGATCATATAGTTGAAAGAACAATGCACTATGAATTATATATATGACTATAGTCATTTAATTTCTTTGGTCTGTTTTTCCTGGTCTATAAAATAAGAGTACTGTAACAAAGAGACATAAGCTGGTTTATTTAAAAATTATCATTGTAACTTGTAAACTTTGAGATCTTAAGCTGCTTGCTACATCTTTCTGAGGATAAATCATCAGTATATGATGTGAATATATTTCTAAGGGGAATGAATGTAAAATAAAGGTAAAGTGTCTAGTATGATGACCGACATAGTAAATGTTCAACAATTATTACTATTATGAACAGAGGGTAGAAGTAAAGAATATTAATTTTATTAAATGATCTGTATGGTGTTATTCCAACAAAATACTCTCTGATAAAAGCTACATCTAGATTTACACAGAAATACTGACCAATTTGCCAGTAATTAAGAGAAACGGAATTTTGGGGTTTTTCTATGATTGACCAGATTCAGGAATTAAGACTATAAAAACAACGACTTGCTTTGATAATTCTAAATTACAAATCAATCAATCAACCAATCCATCAGTAATTGGGCATTTTGGCAACCTGTTTATTGAGAACCAAACCTAAAGGGACTGATTTAGTTACAGCCATTCAAAAATCTACATAAGGTGCACATGTTAAGGAATGCTAGCCCCTGCCACCTGCTCAACGGGATCATAAGGTGGACAAAGGGGTATTAGTGATGCTGAGATGGGATTACTTAGTAAGACTAGATTTTAAGAAAGAGAAGAGCCTATCTGCAGTCCACGGAGTGAACACCACTCTAAAATTTGGAAAGATAGATTCTTTTGGGAGGTGCAATATTGTGATTTATAAGAAATCTATATTTGGACATTCAGATCATCCATGGTTCTTGCATCATAGCTCCCAAAATGCTTGAAATTTCCTGAGGATAAGAACAATGGGAACATCTTTTGTTAAATTATTTGTTCTCTTGTCCTCAGTTCCTGATATCACTTCAGAGCCATAAAAGTGAAATGGGTGTCTTGTTATTCATAACAAGCTCCTTTCCACCACAACTGGGTTGATGTTAATGAGGTGACTTTTGGAAAGCACCCCTTTTTGGGGGCTTGTTGCCAGGGGAAACAACCATGAATAGAGGGTTGGAACTTTTAGTCCCATCCCCTGATTTCTGAAGAGGGGGAGGGGTTAGAGTTTGAGTTCGATCACCAAGGGCCAATGATTTAACTAATTATGTCTATGTAATGACCCCTCCATAAAAACCCAAAGGAAGGAATTTGGGGAACTTCTGGGTTGGTGAACATGTGGAGATTTGGCAATAGTGGTGCCCTTAGAGAGGGCATGAAAACTCCATGCCCTTTCCCCATAGCTTGTCTTATGAATTTCTCCTTCTGGTTGTTCCTGAGTTACATCCTTTTAAATAAACCAGAAATTCGGTTAAGTAAAATTTTTCTCTGAGTTCTGTGAGCTGTTCTAGCAAATTAATGGAACTTGAGTAGGGAACTCTGATTTCTAGTCTGTCAGTCATAAATATAGCTAAACAACCTGGACTTATGAGTAGCATTTGAAGCCCAAGAAAGGGGCCACTGGAACCTCCAACCTATATCTGGTCAGTCAGAAACAGAGGTGATATAAGCTAAAGTTTGTGACTGGCTTCTGAAGGGAAGGGGGCAATCTTGTAGGACTGAACCCTTAACCTTTGGAACCCTTAACCTAGATAGTAATAGTGTCAGAATCAACTTGAATTGTAGGACTCCCAATTGGTGTCTCAAGTGATGCTTGTTGGGGATGTCGGAAATCACCCACCAACACATACACACATTTGTATTGTATTGAAATTAGGTCCAGGAACCCAACTAGATTCACACATTAGAACAAGAAATTTACCTTGAAACAATGTAAAACAGGGGAAAGGTCAGCTTTTACCCTTTGCTTTACCTCAGGGATGCTATAAGCACAGCTCTACTTTTTCAAGTCTCTTCCTATCTTCCTCTCTGTATTCTGGGACCTCAGAGGATCCACTCTGATCCAAGACATACAAGATGGGGATGCTCTAGGGCAATCAACTTGTAAATACCGCTGCCTTAAATTCTATCTTAAGGGAACAGACACACCATAAGCAAAAAGAGCCAAAACTTGATGCATTAGAATTCACAGGGTCAGCTAAGCATTTCTTGTGTGCCAGTTTAGCCAGTCCCTTAGAGCTTCCTGCCAGAAAGGTTCTAGAACTAGGGATACATTCAAAGGCCTTGGAGGTGTTTCACAACTACTCCATTGCCATAGCCATCCGGCAACCCAACTTTGATCCTCCTAAGATTTGTTTCATTAAGCTTTTATTTCTTCTGACAATGGGTCCAAGTTTCTCTTCCCCATACCTGCCCTATATTTACCTGACCTTTCCTTGGACACCAAAGTGGTATCAGGAAAGTCACTGAGTCATCATATCTGAAAATGCTTCAACTGAAACCTCTAGAGTGGTCACAATTTTTAGAGTTGATTACCATTGTAATAATGATACTAAAAAAGATGCATCAATGAGTATCTTGATATTAGTATATTCACTATAAATGATGTTATGAAGTTATAGTGGAAAGATATTTTTGTTTTCAAGAACTTCTTTTGATAAACTTAAAGGCAGAGACAAGGCAACAGATTTTGGCCTCATTTAGTTTATCCTGAAATTTTGCATCACTTTGGAATTTAAGAGGAGAGTTGGAGGATCCTAAAATATGGTATTGATCTAAGGACCATCTGCTACCAATTTGAGTCACAAAGAAGAATATCATAATTTTAGGATACAATGGGTTTGACCACTGCATTCATGACCTACATTTACATATGCATAAGGATTTTTAAATGCTTAAGTAGTCTTATTTCACAAGAGTATATCAATCCAACATTTTCAAAATAAGTGATCATGGTAAAGCATTAATTATTCATATTATGTTATAGAATATATATTTTAACAGTGGAAGAATCACATTAAGTTATGATGATGTGTCATAGTACCACATAAGAATGGATCATTAATATGCTTGGTTGATAATTAATGGTTCTTTAGAAAGACCAAAAAAAGTTGTCCAGTTTTGGCAGAAATTTTCCAGGCTAGTTGATTAATTTAAGGAAAATAACTGTAATTATTTCGATGGCATGTTTCCCATTGGTATTGAGTGATGACCACTTGCAAAATAGTTTTAAATAAAAAGCTCAGAGTGTTCCAGTGATGTTTTAAGGAGTATTTGTGAAACAACCATATTCAATGATTGTTTTGTACCATAGCACAAAATATATCTCCCAATGAATCATGTGCCATAATGTATCTGATTTAAAATATTCTAAGCAAATTAGAATAAATAATTTTTGATATAATATTAAAAACTCTTTGTCTTGTTTGGGTATTTTAAAATATACTTACGGGTTGTCCAATAGCAGTACTATGGGATTAAGTTCTTTCTTTGGTCTATAATATGCCCTGAGAGGAACAATAAAATTATACAATCCATTTCCAGCTGTTTCAGCTGCAACTATAATTAGCTTATTTTTGAATCCATAGGCTTTTGCGTCCTCATAGTAGTTATGCTGGCAACTCTAGAGAAGAAAAATTATACAAAGAAATGCCATTTTTATACTCCACGAAAATTTGCTGAAAAAATTTAGGATATATGGAAAAGTAAAATTAATCTAACCTAGTAAATCCTTTATTTTATAACAAATTTGAAAATAGTTACATTTTTCTATGCCCAGTTCTCCAGCCTGCTTCAAGAAGTGAAGGTGTGCATGGACAAGACAAATGAATTGCAAGTGTGTAGCTTAATATGGGGGAAGAAAAAGTCAGAAATATGTGTGTGCACATGTTCTATTGTAAACTAAAACATATTGCTAGATGACATCTGGGTATCTATATTTAAAAATTACCATAATGTATATGTATATCAAAAAAAATCATGTTATATATTTTAAATATATACAATTTTTATTTGTCAATCATACCTCAAGAAAGCTGGAAAAAATCTACCTCTGACTTTCATTTCCAGAAATATAATAATATTATAATTAAATGACCTTGGAACATTCCAAGTACTGAACATCTAAAGGGATGGATACCGAGAAAGATCTCTTTGTTGTTAAAAAACAAAAAAAGAAAACATAGTTGTCTAAATGTATACCTGAGCTAGCAAGATAATAATAGAAATACGCAAAAGTAAAATACCAATACTAATAATAACAACAAAACAGTAACAATACATTATCAAAACTCATTGTTATCTTGAGGGTATTTTGCTATTTTCTAGAGAGCTAGTACTTACTGGACTTAGCATTATTAAATCAAGATTCTTTAAAACTAAATTATCTGCATGGAGAACTGTTTTAGTGTTCTGCTCTTTTATCTTTCTAGGCCTCTCTGTGGGTTTCTTTTTATTTGGGTTGCGATTATTTGATTCTCTGTGGATTCATCACCTATTCTGGAATATTCTCTACTTTTTTTCTTTAATAAAAAAATTACAAAATGCTGCTGGGAACAAGGCACCATGAGTCAGCAGAAACAATAAACAATAGAATTAGACTCACAAAGACTACAGATTTTGTTGTTATTAGATTCAGAACAGAAAAAATGAACGTGTTTACTATGTTTAAAGAAATAAAGAACATTTAAAGTATGAACAAAGAACAAGAGGCTACTTAAAATATTCAGGTAGATGTTAAAAGAAATACATATTCTAGAACTAAAAAGTATAACAATTAAAAATAAAAACTCAAACAATGGGTTAGATTGCACATTTGATGCATGTGAAGGGGTCAACTGCAGGACAGAGTTGATGTAATTACTCAGAATGTGAGAAGAAAAGAGATATAAAGTAGTATGGAAAAATTAAGATACTTGGAAGGTAGTATGACAATGTCTAATATATATTTAAACAGAATACCTGAAAACGAGATGAAAGTATCAGAAAGAAGCCCTATTCAAGTAAATATTAACTAAGGATTTTCTAGAATTAATGAAATACTCAAGTCCTCAGGTTCTGGAACTCCAGTGAATCCTAATTCAAAGAAATAAATAAAAATCCAGCTTCATATGCATGGTAATAAAAGTGCAAAACAACCAGACAATCAATCAGATCTTAAAAAGAGCCAGACAGAAAAGAGAGACCACCCACAGAGAATACAAACTAGAATGATGGCCAACCATTCAATAGCAACATGGAACCCATAAAGCAGTAAACAAAATTCTAATGTGCTAAAAAAAAAGAAAACTCATCCTGGAATTGGACACCCAGCAAAACTGTCTTTCAAGAATAAGGACATTTCTAGGGAAACTGAAATTGACAGAACTTAACACTAATAGGACTTTAGTAAGAGAATTTCAAAAGTTGTAATCAGTAGGAAAATGAATCCAGAACACTTAAGACATAAAAAAAGAATGAAGAAAAGGGGAAATGATTTTTTAAAAAGGAAAGAGTAAGTCTTCATTGGAAGTATGATTGGAGATTTACTAATGTAAGTAGGATCCACAACCACATGAAGGAATGAATAAGGTTACTCCCAAAGAGGTCATGGAAAGAGAAGAGTGACAAGTGATGTTGAGATTATTAAGAACTTCAATATTTATGAGATAAAATGAGGAAAAAGAATTAATTTAGGAGATTCAGAAGTAGCTCAATTAGAAGAAACAAAACAAAACAAGGAGAAAACAGGAATTTAGTGTTGATAAACCTTGATCAGGAACCAGTTTGTTGATACTGTTGTAGAATGAACTGGACAAGTAATCCCAACTCACACACTTCACAGATGCAGTAGGATTGACTGTTTAATCCCATCTCTTGATTGCCAGGTAAGCATTCATTTACATAACAGACCACTACCTCCAGCCACCAATGCTAAATAAATAAAGGATAACACCAGATGTCATCAGCCAGTCAACAGCATTCTGAAACTTTGCCTTCTTAGTACCGTAAAAAAAAAAAAAGAGAGAGAGACAGTTCAGAGTCTCAGAGTCTTTGGCTTTAAAAGACCCTCTATTGTTTCTTCACCAATCCTTATCTCTGAAAGTTTAGCTTTTCAATTGTATCAGGTTCCCTGCTTGGAGATAAATCATTTCCACTCTTTGATCTCCCAGTATGTTTTTTTCTCTTGAACTATGTGTTAAAAAGTAAAATGCAGGAACACCTGGGTGGCTCAGTCTGTTAAGTAGCTGCCTTTGGCTCAGGTCATGATCCCAGGGTCCTGGGATTGAGTCCCATATCGGGCTCCTTGCTCAATGGGCAGCCTGCTTCTCCCTCTGCCCCTCCCTCTGCTCTTGCTCTCTCTCTCTGATAAATTAAAAAAAAAAAAAAAAATGCTATCGGAAATGAATCCAGGTTTTGTGGGGCCTTGGGGAATCCTCTTTAAGGAAAATAACACAAATATTATAAATTTTAAAAAATAAATCACAGGTTCTTAGAAGAGGCCAATCCAGGTGAAGGAGTCCTGAAGCTTAAGATTTATTAACGTTACCAAAAATACACAGCTAGTCAGCAGTAAGAAATACTGCAGACAGTAAATTAAAAAAGGGCCAAAAAAAAAAAAGGCATTGAAAGATGGAACTGTCCAGCTTAATGGACACAGAGGAATATTTGGGAGCAATGGCAAAGATTTTCTGATGTTCCGCTATTCTTCCTCAAGAGTGACAGTAACAGCCAGGCTTCATGATGTTTATTTTTATAAAAAAGTAATAGTAGCAAGAATACTAACAGAACGCATTAGGTGCCTACTCATTTATTAACTTCCTGGCACCGTGTTAAGCATTTTACTTGTGCTAATTTACAGAATTCTCACGAGAACCTGATGAGGCTCATATTAAAATTACAACCATTTTACAAATATGGAAACCGAAATGTAATGGCGAAGTTATTTGCCCAAATTGCAAAGCCTGTAAGCAGAGAGCTGGGATTTTAACTCTTGTTAACTCCAAAATTTAGAGTAAAAGAATAAATTCCTGGTTAGAATTAGCAGCAAATTTAATTTCTGGGAGGTGGAGGATTTGAAAATCTTCTTTTTATCTGCTTTCTTATTCATCAAGAGAACAAGCTCTTATACAGATCATGCCCAGTGGCCATCTTGGGAAAGAGATTTAAAAATGTTTGCATTCTTGTAATCTTTCTGTTTTGAATGGCTCCTTTAGAACATCCAAGCAAGAATCAAGAGCTACAATAAAATCTTTAGGAAAGGAGATAAAAACCACAACACTGATGCTAGCTTTCGGTCTAGTCAATAATGAATCTTTGTGGCTAACACATAGACAAGCTCATTTCACCATGCTGAGCAATTCCACATTAAGTTTTGAGGCAAAAATGCCTTGCAAAATAAATAGTGCACAATTGGCCAAAGTGATTTTGAGAGACTCTCGATGTTGAGAGTTCATAGGTTTGAGGTTCTGGCACCTTTGTTTTCCTCTTTAAAAACATGACCGACTGACTAATCGGGTACTTTAGTAGAAGGGTAAAGCATTTGGGTAATCTTTAGTACAGTTAAGAAAGTACAATTCACTATTTTATGTATTGCATTTACATTTGAAAAGATAATGCTCTTTAAACATATTTTAGTCAAAAGACTATACAAAATTATTTAAATATATGTAATTACAAAATGCCATAATTTCGGTTTTGGACAAAACAACAATTGCTTACCTTGTCTAGTCTTAAGCAGCAAAATGGCACTTTTTCATGAAGGAGATGACAAAAAGTGGGTGAACTTCCTATATATGGAGAATAAGGTGGGTAGCCTTTAGCATATCTGTAAAACAATATGAAATATTTGAGTTGCCTTGAATAAAACACACATAGTTGGACAATTAAGTTATAGCCATGTGTCTCTATTTTTATAAAATTAGGTGCAACTCTTTATATTGCAATTACATTTTGATAAAGAAATAGTTAAGAGGGGCGCCTGGGTGGCTCAGTTGGTTAAGCGGCTGCCTTAGGCTCAGGTCATGATCCCAGGGTCCTCGGATTGAGCCCCGCATCGGGCTCCCTGCTCGGCGGGAAGCCTGCTTCTCCCTCTCCCACTCCCCCTGCTTGTGTTCCCTCTCTTGCTGTGTCTCTCTCTGTCAAATAAATAAATAAAATCTTAAAAAAAAAAAAGAAATAGTTAAGAATAGGGATAAGCAAACTAGGACCCATGGACCAAATCTAGCCTATCAGCTGGTTTTGTGAATTAAAACTTTTTTTGTTTTTTTTTAATTTTAAATGTTTGGAAAAAATTTTTTAATTGGAAAAAAACAAAAGAAGAAGAATATTTCATGTCACATAAAAATTACATGAAATTAAAATTTAAATATCCACAAGTGAAGTGTTTTTAGAACACAGCCATGCTCATTCATTTTATGTATCGTCTATGGGTGCTTCAAAAATAGTTGGATTGGTGCAGCAAAGATTATATGGTCCATAAAGTCTATAATATTTATTAGCTGGTTCCTTTTAGGAAAAGTTTGCCATTCCTTGGTTTAAAAGATTTAGAAAGATTTTTTTTAAACTGCAATATTAATTTTTATAAAACACATTTAAAGCAAAATGACTTATTATGATTTATTCCATTAATATTCATTAGTCATGAATGCATAACCACAAAGGAGTAAACAGTTCAGTTAATTATTCAAACACCCACCAAAAACAGAATATTGTTGGAAACATGCTTAAAATATTATCAAAGATAATTATTTGCTGACTTTATGAAAGTAGCCACCAGCATGCACATCACAACTATATTAATTTTCAGAATAAAACTATCAAAAAGTAGCAGCATAAATGAAAATTAAGAAATAAAATTTGGTAGAGGCAAAATTCCTCTATCTAATATGAAAACTCTTTTCTCAGTAAAAATTACCTTCAAAGCCAAGAAATTTCAAACCTAGTTTAAACTGTTTTCCAGACATTATTAGCTAGGAGGATAAGATGGTGCACATTTTGCAAACTTAGAAGTTGATAATCTCCACTATTACTTCAATATCCTTTTCAGTTTGCTTAAAAAAAAAAAATCCACCTCTCAGTCTTTTCAGAAGGATATGTAAAGAAAGAATTTCAATCACACCACACAACATCATTTCTAGAAATACACTGGCAGTCAAACCTCTCCTTGTTCCCATCAAATATTTCACAAATAAATTTGAGTACTATGACTTCTTGGAGAGTGGATTGTGTTCTGCAGGAACATCAGACTTCCTTGTAATAAAATTTTTTTTAAAGTGTGAAGGATTAAAAGAAGGATTATTTTTTTAAGTTTCAATTATATTTCAGTTCATTTTAGTTCAACATTAACATCAACATTAACTGAACATCTATTAAATGAAAGATATTGGGACTGGTGTTTAAATGGTGTCACCACTGCCAATCCCACTACTACTAGTAAGTACTCCTACACCTCCTAGTAATTATTACTCATCGAATGCTTACTCAGCACAAAGCAGTGTCCTAAGCACTTCTCCATTATCTCAATTAATCTATGTCTGAACATTATGAAGCAGTAATTGTACCCCCTTTACAGATATAGACACTGTGGTTCAGACTGTTTAATCAGTCACTTGCACATCACCAGTACAGGGTGGAATTTACATGGGAAATAAACTCTTTCAGACTCCATTTTCAAGACTGCTGGCCACTGTGCTTTCCTCAAGAAATAGCAAGATTAATATGTGACTAAGACAAGTAAGCAAACCTTACTGAAGATTAAAATGTGATTAATAGCATGGACACTGGCACTATGTATTATGGAGGCATAGTAAAGAGAACTAGTACGTCATGTATTCATTCATTCAAAATATTATTGGTGTATACCATATGAAAAATACCTCTGCCCACTAAGATGAGGAAGGGAAGCTTAATGGTGGAAACCTGCACTACATGTCGTTGAATAATGACCGAACTTTAATATGGACATGGAAGGAAATAAATTAAAAGTAGAAAGTACAATATAATTAACGAAAACATGCAATCATGAAAATGCATCTTCTATCATGAAAATACCGATTTATATATTTTCTTCTTTAAGGATAAAAGATAATTTAGAGAAAACAGATCCTGGAAATATATGTTGAAGCCAGAAATTTGAGGTCTTAAAATACTTTATAGGTAATGGAAATACAGGCTAATAGGAAGGGTGTTCTGGTAGAAGTATGTGGAATTGATTCTACAATATACAAAAGGTAAGGACATTAGCGCCCCATAGTAGCACAAATTCTAGTAAATCTTAAACTGTTCTAGAATATCTAAACATACTCTAAGTTTGAGGAAATTTCTTCATCTGGTGTAGTTTCATCTTCTGATTGATCACTTAGAAGATCACATGTTTGAATTGATGATGTATCTGCAACCTCTAAAACGGGAGCAATGCTAGGTCTTCTGATTTCTTTGCTTCCCTCCGTAGGAAGAGACAGGGTGGGGCCACTTGTTGATCTACAGCTTGTGTCTTGCAAGTCTATAGCCACAGTACCTGCAACAAGGAAACATAAAAATCCATCAAAGCATTTGCCACCTAGATGATAATCAACATTTAATGATCAAAATGAAATACAACCATTATAACTGGTAAATATATTATTGCTTACCCTTTAATCTTACAGGTTATTTCTTTCCCATGTGGACATTTTTGCCTACATGGATTAAAAAAATTCTGCATTTGTGCAAAGTGTATTTGCTGAGTCTAGTTCTATTGCACAAAACATAAGATTTGTGAAACACTGAAATACTTAGGAATCTAAAGTGAAAAAAATACCTTGTTTCAATTTACATTTATTTAAAATTAACAAATAAAATTTTGGCCTTTTCAATATAGTGGATTTCTCATTATATCTTTTCCCCCCATTTTGTTCTTATTCTCTTGCTGATTTGTAACCACTTTTCTTATATTAAAACCATTAATATTTTATATTTATTCAACAAATATTTATTGATTACCTACTGCATGGAAAACACTATCCTAGACACTTGGGATATGCAGGGAATGAGATACTGCTTCTACACATAAGGGTTTATCTTTAAAATAACCAAGTAGACAAATAAATGAAAAAAGTCATTTTAGATAATGATAAATACCATGCAGAAAATAAAACAAAATGATGTGGTAAAGAACAGTGGGGTTGGGAGCAGGAGAAGGAATGAATTTTCACCAGGTGGTCGGTGGTCGGGAAGGCTACTCTGCAATCATGACCTTTGATTTTTCACTCAAAAGACAATAGTACTCAAGCTGTGGAAATACCTTGAGGCAGTAGTAACAGCAAAACCTAAATAGTTTAAGGCTTTTGAATACTGGGGGGTAGTCAATAGTAAACAGAAGAAACAAATTCCTTTAGGATTTTTTTATTGGAATTTCAAAATTAATTTAAACATCAATTTATGGAAAGCTGGTATCTCTCCCCTTCTGAAGAAAATAATACAGTCTAACCGAAGAGTGCCATCATATTTCTCTACCACTCACTTCATTTACGTACTAATACCTGGTCATCTGTCTAAAACCCCTTAGACCTTACTTTGTCCCATTTGAAGCACCTATTAAAACATTCGCCACTTCTCTCAAACCTCTGACCTTGTCATCTCCTTTACTATTACAGCAGAAGTTTTTAAAGGGGGAATAAAACTAATGGATTTTAGCATCTCTTTCTCTGTACCACGGAAAGAGAGGTCAGCAACTGATTTCTAAAACCTCTGAGACAATTACATGTCTCCACCGAAGGAGGGATAAACAGGAAATGTTTTTGAGGGTGAGGGTTGGTAGCTCAAGTCTGGTGAAAATATCCAAGTATTTCTCAAAACTGAAATCAATTTAAGTTTCAGAGACTTGTACCTCTTCATATACACAAAACTCAGATTAGCGGGAGGGGAAGCCTAGTGTGTCTGTAGTTCGTGGGGAAGCCTTCATGTGATGGGAATATATGAACATTCCCAGAACTGCTGTTTCTGAGAAAAAGATGTGGGGACCAGTACTCAGCAATTCCAGTATCAGAGCGAAGGTAAAGATTGTTGCCATCAGAAACTCTATGCTTATGCAATTTTTTAGCACCATAAATAAGGATTAATCTATAATTCATTCTATCTTTGGGTAAGAGGTGAATAGGATCCTAGAGAAAATAAGATTAAATTTTCTATTTAGTAGGTATGTGGAATTGATTAAAAATTAAATTTTATAAATTTGATTTACAAAAATAGGGAAAAGCCATGATTTACATCCTAAGGTTTTAAGTTAAAATTCATATGTATAATATTTATCCTCTGCAGATGACCACATTGCTGAATTCAGAGAGAAAACAGAACTTATCATAGAAGAAATCCTTCAATTCCCTGACTGCAAACAAACATGAGAGTTTCAACAAACTTGTTCCTTTTTTTCTGCTTAGAATCTAGCAGGGAAAACACAATTCAAAAAGTAGTTACAATTACAGAAACAAGCTCTTCTTTGAACATTTCCTTTGCTTAACAAAAACTGATTCTTCCATGACATCTTCCCCTCAGCCCTTTAAAAAGGTGGTGGGTAAATACCCTCAGTGTTCTCACTGACTCTTTCAGACTCTTTTCCTTTTATCCTTTCTAAAATCCCAGCTTTGTATCCCAGATCTTCCGATTCTATCACCACTATCTTTCACTGCTTTGTTTGGTGCCTGATCCTATGTCATTCTACTTATTTCTTAATGTTTCTAGTCAGTTTAGTTTGTCAGGACTGTCATAATGAAGTACCGCAGACCAGGTGGCTTAAAAAACAGAAATTTATTGCCTTACACTTTTAGAGGCTGGAAGTCTAAAATCCAGGTGTTGGCAGGATTGGTTCCTTCTGAGGGCTGTGAGGGAAGGGTCTGTTCCAGGCCTCACTACTCGTCTGGTAGATGGTCATCTTCTGCCTATGTCCCCTCTCATTGTCTTCCTTGGAGGTGTCTTTGTGTCCTAATTTCCTCTTCTTATAAGGAGACCAGTCATAGTGGATTAGAGCCTGCCCTAGTGACCTCATTTTAACTTAATCACCTCTGTAAAGACCTTAGCTCCAATAAAGGTCACATTCTGAGGTACTGGGGGTTGGATTTCAACATAGGAATTTTGGTGGACACAATTCAATTCACAACACTATTCCTGCCTCATCCAGTGTGTTAAAAATACAGATAGGTAAGCCTTCTCACTTCCTCGAATTCACTAAAGAAATCATTTTCATCTGAGGCCCCTCAATTCTGCACTTTTTAGACCTTGTTATAACCATTAACAGCCTCACTGCATTTATTCATTTCACACATTCATCCTCTAATCACCACTATTTTCTATCTTTTCAGGTCATTCTCATTTGTGTCTCAACTTCAGCTAAGGTTTTACTCTTCTAAAACTTCTAGTTATAATATCAAGTTTGAATAATCTCCCTCACTCCCTTCATGTTCTGTCTTCTCTTTTTACCCATCTTAAACTCCATATTTAAGCATTATGATTATTTACTTGCATATACTCTTGGTTCCCTTGCAACATTTTTGTTCCCTTACATTCTTGGCAAAAGCAAACCCTGTTTAATTGTTGGAGTGGAGGGAGGTGGGAGGGTTGGAGTGGCTGGGTGATGGATATTGGGGAGGGGTGAGTGCTGTGAATTGTGTAACACTGATGAATCACAGACCTGTACCCCTGAAACAAATAATACATTATATGTTAATAAAAAAATAGATTTAAAAAAAAGCAAACCCTGTTTAAATTCAACTCTGTCAACCATAAATTCAACCATTCTGTAATAAACCCCTCTGATCTGCCATTTTCTACTATCTCTCCAATGAAAGAGTGACGGTCACTGTTTTGTTACATTCAATTGCCAGTTTTCAATTCTCATGTTATTTGAACTATTAGTGGCCGTTGATGTAGCAGATCACTCCATTATCATGATACACTGGATTCCAGGACACCACACTCACCAGGTTTTCCTACTTCCTTGCCAGTGGCTCTTTCTTGGTCTCTTTTGCTGGTTTCTTCTCATCTCCCTGATATTTAATGTTGATATCCTGTAGGATTTAGTCCTTTGTCTTTATCCCTTTTCTGTCCATACTCATTTCATCAATGATCTTGTTCAGTCTCATAGCTCTAAATATAATACATAAGCTCAGGAATCCCAAATTTACTTTATCAGTGTATACCTCTTTCCTGAACTCTAGACTTTTATATCTAACTTCCTGTTTGACATCTTCCTCTCAATGTCTAACAAACATTTGAAGTTCAGTGTGTCTCAAACTGAACTTTTTACCCCTGCTTCCCACCAAACCTGCACTCCCCAAGCCTTCCTTATCTCAGTGGATGGCCATTCCCTTTTTCCAGTTGCTTAAACCAAAAACCTTGGGGTTCTTCACACTTCTCTTTTTCTCATAGTTTACTTTCAATCATCAGTGAATCCTGGTTACTCTATCTTCAAAGTATACCCAGAATTTTCTCCTTCTTACCACCTCCATTTGAAAGTACTCTAATCCTTGGGCCAAACCAAGGATCTCAATAGCAGCCAAAGTGATTGTATTAAAACATAGGTTAGCATAGGTGAGATCATGCCATTGCTCTGCTTAAAACTTGCAATGACTTTCTTTCATTCAGAGTAGAAAAAATAATCCTTACTTTGAGTTTAAAAGCCCAAACATAATCTGTCCTGTTTTACCTCTTCCACCTCATCTCCTATAACCGATCATTGCCCACTGTGTTTGAGTCACAAGAGCCTTTTTACTGTTCCTGGAACACCCAGTCAGGCCTCCCATAAAGCCTTTGTAGTAGCTATTATCTGTAAGGAATGCTCTTCCTCCAGATATCCACAAGGTTAATTCTTTCATTTTCTTCAATATTTTCTCAAATATCATCTTTTCAATGAGGTTTGCTAACCACCTCATTTAAAAATTCAGTCTCTCCAGAATTCACAAACCCTTTTACTAGCTCAGTTGCCTTCTTTCTTTTCTCTTATTACTTATCACCTTCTAACACACTAAATTATTTCCTTATTTTTTATGTGTTGTTTATTGCCAGTCTTCCCTATGATAGAACATAAGATCCGTGAGCTAGGGATCTTTATGTATTTGTTCACTAATTTATCACAAAAACTTATGAGTGTCTGGCACATATCAGGTATTCAGTAAGTAATTGTTAATAATGGAAAAAAATAAGTAGGACTACTATAAAAAAAATAATATGCTATGTCAATGACAAACAGGGTTACCTAACACAGTCCAAGCAGGGCCATGGAATATGTCTCAGAAAGAATGATATTGAGACTGAGATACAAAGGATTAGAAGTAGTTACCTAGGCAAAGTTGGGGGCTGGGGAGTAGACCTGTCAGAAGAAACTTCATGTGTTAAGGTTCACTGGTGAAAAACCATTTAGTGAAGGTTGAAAGGAATTTAGTATGAATGGGACTTAGGAATGCAATTGAAGGGATAGTAAAATACAGTACTAGAAATTAAAGGTGGAATTATTAAAAAAAAAAACTTTAAGTAAAGTGACTACGTGATTTATCTTACAAACTAGGATACTCTTGAGAATCAAAGGGGGCGGTCTTTAATAATGACACCAGGATAATGTATATAAACTGGGACTGTCCTGGGACAACTGGGAGTGCCTCATGCAAACAAGAAATTCTGGTCATCCAAATCATAAGCCATGTAATATTATAAAATTTAGATTTTTCCCTTGGATAATAAGAAGCAATTCAAATGATTTATTTTTTTAAAAGATTTATTTATTTTAGAGACAGAGAGAGCGTACACATGCAGGGTGGGGGGGCAGAGAGAGAGAGGAAGAGAATCTCAAGCAGACTCCCCACTAAGCATGGAACCCAACGTGGGGCTTGATCTCACAATCCTGAAATCATGACCTGAGCTGAAATCAAGAGTCTGACACTTAACCAACTGAGCCACCCAGGCACCCCAGCAATTCAAATGATTTATGCAGGAGAATGATATTATCAAAATTATATAAAAATTATAACTCTGGTTGCAAGGTGGAGAAGAGTGCAGGGCAGCATGGAGGCATGGAGAGAAGCTTGGGCGGGGGATGACCCTGCAGTTGAGGGGAAGGATGATGGACATTCAGACCATGATCACACAGACTTTGGCAGAAAGAAGGGAATGACTCTCAGGGATACTTGATACTCTGATTTAATAGAATTGGGTGAATTATGAGGTACGAGAGGAGAGGAACAGTGAAAAGTCAGAATTGTGACTTTACAAATTGTAACGTGTCATCTGTTTTTTAGCCAAAAAATGGAGGAGGAAGTAGTTTTGAATGAAGGCAGAAAGATTAGTTCAATTTGAATATGCTGTGTTGGTTTTTCCTGTGACACATCCAGACAGAAATACATAACCAGTATATTGTTGTGAAGAGAAATTTAAGTTAATGATTTACATAAGAGAATCATCAATTTTTGGAGGGCAACTCAATCTGTGGGAGCAGAAGCACATGGTCAATACCATCCTATGCTGTGAAGATGTCCACTGGATTTAGTGACAAACAGAGTGGTGGCTTTGCCAGAGTAGTGATATAATGACTAGAGATTTCAGACTAAATGGGGCAGAGGCATGAGGGGACAATAAGATTTCAAGCCAGCAACTGAAGACAACTCTTTCAAGGAATTTACCTGTGAAGATGTCAAGCCAAGAGGTCCAGGTATGTGTGTCTGTGAGCGTGTGTGCATACGTGTGTGTGTGTGTGTGTGTGTGTGTAGAGAGAGATGAAGAGAGAGACACACAGAGACAGACAAAGGGAGAAGAAATGAGCCAATGATTTTGAAAAAAAATAAAGTTAGGTAATAAGGATGAATTAAAATAAAAAGGTCCCAGAGTAGGTAGTAAGTGAAGTCATTACTATTAAAATATTAAAAGTTGGGGCACCTGGGTGGCTCAGTTGGTTAGGCAACCAACTCTTGGTTTCGGCTCAGGTCATTATCTCAGGGTTGTGAGATCAAGCCCTGTGTCGGGCTCTGCGCTCAGCGTGGAGTCGGCTTGAGATTCTTTCCCCCTCCCTCTTCCTCCCCCTTTGCTCCTTCCCCTACTTTCTTGCTCTCTTTCTAAAATAAATAAATAAATAAAATCTTTTAAAAAATACTAAGAGTTAAAGAAAGGACACATTATCCTTGTGACAAAAATGAATGTTTGTAGGTTCATAGGTGGTTTGGTGGCAAAATTTAAAATTTAAAGGAAATTCTTATTTGTCTGGATCTATTCCCTTTTTTTTTTAACTTCTGTGTCATAAAAGCCAAGTTCAATGGTGAGAATGAGATGGAGGATGGAAGAAGAGTTTTGAGAAAAACAGAGAATATCTGAAATACCCTCTGTTGATAACTGGATACAGAACTTACAAAAGAACTATAAAAGTGTCAGGTGCTTATATTCTAATCAGAAATATGAAATCATTGTTGACAATTTTGAATTAGCTTAATTTCTTTTTTTTTAAAGATTTTATTTATTTGTTAGAAAGACAGTGAGAGAGAGAGAGCACAAGCATGGGGAGCAGCAGAGGGAGAAGGCTCCCTGCTGAGCAAGGAGCCTGATCCAGAACTCAAACCCAGGACCCTGGGATCATGACCTGAGCCAAAAGCAGATGCTTAATGGACTGAGCCACTCAGGCATCCCAAATTAGCTTAATTTCTTACCAGTTTAATAGCTTAGAAACTTTGTTCTGTATACTTAGTTACACCAAGTTTATAATATACACAATTAGTTTCTAAGTTTGACTTTGAAATTTTAACAAACATTGAAGGATATTTATTTTGTCTTTTAAAGAAAGAAACTAGGGTGCCTGGGTGGCTTAGTAGGTTAAGCATCTGCCCTCCGCTCATGTCATGATCTCAGGGTCCTGGGATTGAGCACTGCATAAGGCTCTCCCCTCAGTGGGGTATCTGTTTCTCCCTCTCCCTCTGTGATCTCTCTCGTTCTCGCTCTCTCAAATAAACAAAATCTTTAAAAAGAAGAAGGAAAGAAAGAAGAAGAAAGAAAGAAAGAAGAAAGAGAAAGAAAGAAAGAAGAAAGAAAGAAAGAAAGAAAGAAAGAAAGAAAGAAAGAAAGAAAGAAAGAAAGAAAGAAAAAGAAAAAGAAACTAGTGATATTTTCAAATTTATGTATACTTACCCATGCTGGCAATTATGCTATGTACAGGTAATCGAGAAGGTCCATGATAAAATGACCTTGGTACATTGCTTCTTTTCTGCTGGTCTTGGTTTTTAAACGCTGAATTCTCTTCTTTGGTAATATTAATATAAAAACATATATCTGTAGCATTCATAATATATCGAGGACCTGGATTCAGCAAAATGTTTTTATTATCTTCCCTCCGAACACCAATCAAACAGACGCCAAACCTTAATTTAAAAAAATAAATAAATAAAAGTTTAAGAATTATAATTCAGCAAAGCTCTTATGTTTTTTGTTTGTTTTTAAGTTTGCATATGTAAGAAAATTAGTAAACTATTATAAGGCAGAGGAAAATTAAAACCCCAAATCACAGCATTTTAAAGCTTGAAAAGATCCTGAAAGATCAAGACTCAAGATGCTCAAGACAAAAGACAAAAAAAAAAAAAAAAAGACTCTCAAGACTCTCAAAACTTTCCTGTTTTTCCAGGAAAAGAAACTATGTCCTTAGTGTGTGGTGAAATCAATTTAGTTGATTATGACATATATACTTTTTTTAAATGAAGACCAGAAAAAAAATAATGAAAAACATCAGAGTGTGTATCATTAGTAAGGGTAAGAATTTTTTATAAATTGTGTGTGTGTGTATTGAGTCTTACCATAAATGTATATTTTCACTTGGCCAAAAAAATATAAAACAGTATGACTTTAGTCAAAAATGCTTAAAAGTCATTGGCCTAAAAGAAGAAACTTACCCAAGGTTACATGAGGAAAAAATCAGGGTCCCTAAATTTCTTTTAGTTCTGTTTCTACCATATTTGGTTTACTCTGAATTTTACAAAAAAAAAAAGTAATAGTCTGAATAGGTGCACAGCTCAATTGGGAGAATATCAATGACTAAATGTAATAGATATTAAAAATTTCTTTTATACTTTTTCAGGTTATGCTCCAAACACAAAATGTCCTGAATGTTTTTATTTCAATATGTCTTATACTGTTACAAATAAATCTAGCTTAAAAATATTTTTTAAACATCAAAAGTATATGTATGGATAGAATTGTATTGAGAATTAAAGTGGAATACATTAAATATTAGATTAGTGGAATATACTAGATATATACAAACCTTAAAAATGTTATATCAATATATTTATAATACTGATAATATATTACTTTCATTATAAACATACATTGTTTCTTTAGTAAATAATTTTTTTCAAAAAGGAAAAATATTATGTTCCATGTTTGAATTAGAAGGTACAATTGTTTACTTTTTAACTTATTTCTCTGGCCAAAGCAAGTTTTTTTAAATGTCTAGATTTTATAAATGTTATTATGACTTTGTCTACATTTTTAATCAGCACTTTAAAATTAGATCTCTAAAGAAGATTCATTTTCATGCATTTGTGAATTCTTAATGGATTAAAATATTTTAAAGATAACTTAAAAGTTACTAAAGTCAATATTCCTACTAAATTATACTGTATACCTAACACTCCTAACTTGTAAAGACCATACAGAAGTTCAGAGTTCAATGTCACTAATTATGTTAAAAATTTGCAACTCGTGAGCACCAATATGGGCTGTATTTTAGAAAACTGTGTTTAAAGGGTGTGATTGATTTATATTTTAAGTCCACTCTGGAAGCAGAAACATACTTTTTGTGTGCATGAAAAGAGGCATATGTAAAACTCTTTCCTTCGTACTCAGCAAAAAATGTACTTTCTTCCAAAACAATGTGGTAAACTTCATTGCCAGAGCATCTACCGTACATCTTCTGCCACTGTTCTGGCGATTGCTGGCCTTCTCTGCAACACAAGCACACACACATACACACACACACACAGAGGAAAACACAGTGAATGCGGTTAAAAAGACAATTTTCATACATAATCTGGTTTCCCTACAGGAAGAATTGGTAAGCACAGTTCAAAGAAGTCTATGTGTGGTGCTCTAAATGATGATATTATTTACAAACACTACAATGAATTACTACAAAAATTTTGAAACTAACACAATATATGTTTGAAAGATGGCAGATTGCTAGAAAGTAGTTCTTCATAATCCAGTTAATGAACGCATTTACCCTATGAACCAATAAGATATAGCATTTCATTTTAATTTCTGTTTATGTGTACCCTGTCATGCACGTGCTATATATTATACTTGTTTCATAGTCTAAATAATATGGCCCACTTCGTCTCATTTATGATACCTGTTTGGCCCTGGTAGGTAACTGATTTTGCTTTGTATTTATGAGTGTATACATGTCAACTTATCAATTTGATTTCACAGAAAATATACTCTTAATTTCTGTCCATATCATAGCAATGGCTTTCTTTCTTCCAATTGTGTAGCAGTTAAGAAAAAAATATCTCTTCATGATAAAAGGGTCTTCAATGAGATCCCCAGAAGTATTTTTTAAAAGAACGTAAGTTTATCTCAGAAAGTACAGTTTGTATTTTCTGGAATGTTCTGCTCAGTGGCCTTGGATAGAAATAAAAAAGTCAACCAACGAAAAATGTATTGTGAATATACAAGAGTTCTTCTTTCCCATTTTTTATAGTAAATTTCACTTTTTCTGAATAAAGCTTATATAGTTTATAAATACAAGAAATACACTTTAAGAAGGAAAGTGCTAAATATATAAATATCAAAATATTTCATCATAATGTCTGTAGATTCTGAATGGATAAAAGCAGATAACAAATTATATCTACATATTTAGGGTTTAAAAAAACATTTTAAAACCTGAGTTTTATCTAAAGGATTATTAGAGATAATACATTTATTAATATTTTCAAAGAGTCAATAAGTTTTTAAAAATCATATATTTTCCAGGTATGCTTCACTTTACTTCATTCTTTCTTAATTGTGCTTAAGAGTCAATTAAGAGTCAAGAGCCCATGGGGTGCCTGGTGGCTCAGTCGGTTGAACGTTGAACACTGGACTTGATTTCAGCTCAGGTCACGATCTCAGGGTCATGAACTTGAGCCCTGCCTTGAACCCCGCCTCGCTTGGGTCAGGGGATTTGCTGGAGATTCTCTCCCTCTACGTCTGCCTCTCCCCCAACTTACAAGCACTCTCTCTCTCTCTCTAAAATAAAGAAATAAAACCTTAAAAAATAAAAGAGTGAAGAGCTTGGACCCTGAATTCTGATCACCTGATCTGAATCCTGATTCTGCAATCTTGGGTTGTTAAGTAACTTCTGAGTGATTCTCTACCTCTTCTGTGAAAAATAGCACCAGCCTCACTGGGTTAGATAAAATGAAGTAATACAAAAAAATCTCTTAGCAGATGTTGGGATCATAGTAATCACTCAGTAAATATTAGCTTCCACTATTTTCCTGTTACACCTTCCTCATTGCTAAATTTTGGAGCCAATTTCAACATGTCTAGTCAACCTACACCAATGCCTCTAAAACCTTTACTCTTTTTTCTTTAATGCTAATATGTTTTTGGAAATAGGAAAATAAAATAAAACAGACCACTTCTGACTACTGACTGCATTTGCCTCTACCTAACTACTACTTCCTAAAAATAATTTTTCCTGGTGGAGAAATCGTTCCCTTTGGCAAACAAAAATAAAATTATCTTTGTTATGCTCCATAGTCTACTTGGCAAGATGATACTTGGCACAGATAGAATTCTTTTAAAGTGCTGGAAATGTAAGAGAAGGTGCCAGGAATTCATCAGAGTTTGTTTGAGATCCAAAAGGTAGCATGGAGTCAAATCATTGTCAGACAAGGGTACTAAAAGCTATTCGAGAGAATAATAAATCTAAGTCCAGGGGCTGAAATGGGAATACAATGTTGTAACTTGGAAGGGAACAGAAAAGGAGGGTTAGACAAGGACATTTCAGATGGATTTCCCTAAATCATTTGCTTGTTCTCATGCTATTTTATGCTTTTACCCCCAGAAGACCTCTTTATGCTTTCTTCAAATATCCCAAATAGGTAAGAAAGAATCTCTAAGTTTCTGCTAATTGTAAATACACAAAATTTTCTCCTTTTTGCTCATGTTAATTGTTTGAGAAATGTAGGAAATGAGTAATGCCATTTAATACTAATGGCTATGTCCAGTTCCCACTTATTAATCCCTACATGAAATATTCATCAAGCACTTAGGCTGTGTCAGGGAGAGCTCTAGATTCAAAAGTTATGGCAGTTAACAAACAAGACAAAAATGTTTTCTTGTTTGGAGCCTCTAGTGAAGGAAGACTGACAATAAACAAAAGAAGCAAACTGTGTTATATGTTAGACGTGAACTCCTGGAGGCACCTGGGTGGCTCAGTAGGTTAAGTGTCTGCCTTCGGCTCAGGTCATGATCCCAGGGTCCTGGGATCAAGCCCCACATTGGGGTCCCTGCTCAGTGGGAAGTCTGCTTCTCCCTCTCTCTTGACCCTCCTCCCCTCTTGCTCTCTCTCTCTCTGTCTCAAATAAATTAAAAAAAAAAAAGAAGTGAGAGGGAGAAAAATCAGACAGGCAAATAATTTTTAGGAATGAACTGGAATGTAAATGGTATGGTTGAGGAAGGCATCACTGAGAGGTTGACATTTGAGTAAAAATCTTTAAGAGTTATGGAGCAGCAACCACATGGGTATCCAGGAGAATATTGGTCCAGGCAGAAGTAGCCACAAGTACTTTCCTGAGACAGAGGAATGACTGGTATAGCTAAGGAAAAGCAAGGAGGCCAGTTTAACTGGAGTTGAGGGAGGAGAAAAGATGAGGCCAGAGAGGTAGCACGGCAGGGAGAGGGGTCACACAGAGATTTATAAAAGTTTATAATGACTCCGACCTGTGCTTGAGATGATTTGGCAGATACTGGAGGATTTCAAAGATGGGTGCAAAAGATTCTGACTTAAATTTTATAAAAATCCCCCTGGGTCATGGTGCTGAGAAAAGATTGAAGAAAGGGTAATGACCAATGAGGAGGTTACTGCAATGATCCACTAGATGATGATAGTTTGGACCAGACTAGACTCGGTCCTGAATGTAGAACAGAAAGGATTTGCTAATGTAAGAGAAAAGAAGTATAAAAATCTTAAGTATCCAAGTCCTTCAGAAATATGGATGGATAAATAAATAAATAAATAAAATCCATACAGACAACAGTGAAAATTAAGTACTACTGCTTATAAAACATCATGGAGAAATCTCAAATATAAAAATGTTAAATAAAAGAAGTGATTTTGGATTTGTCATTGTAGCTAACTAGGTCCTGGAAAATCAGAGATAGTATGCGTGGGCTTCAGAAACATGTGGAATGTTTATTTTTTAAATCTGAAATGCTAGGTACATGTATGTTCATGATAATATTCTTATAACGTGCAAATGTATGAAATATTTCTAATTATATAGAACATAACATATTCTAATATCTAATGATATTTCTAATATCAAAAAGATATCTGTACCAAGACATAGAAACAACTTAAATATTCATAGATGGATGAATGAATAAAGAAAATGTGGTATAAATATATATAATGAATTACCGTTCAGGTATAACAAAGGAAATCCTGCCATTTGTGACAACATGGATGGACCTTGAGGATATTAGCTCAGTGAAATAAGTCAGACCAAGACAAATACCATATGATCTCATTTATATGTAGAATCTAAAAAAACAGAAACAAAAAATGAACTCATAGATTCAGAGAACAGACTAGTGGTTGCTAGAGGTGGGAGGTGGGGAGGTGGGTGAAATGGGTGAAAGTGAACAAAAAGTACAAACTTTAAGTTGTAAAATAAATAAGTCCTAGGAATATAATGCATAGCATGGTGACTACAGTCAATAATACTATGTTATATATTTGAAAGCTACTAAGAGAGTAAATCTTAAAAGTTCTGCTTTTATGGTGCTGTCATAAGAGTGAATTTCAAAATCTCAAATCAATTCATATCACTCTCCTGTTGAAAATGTTTAAAGGACTTCTTTCTCTTGTGTGCTCTAGCCATGAGCACTCCTTAATTTACCCTGAACAAGAAACTCTTTCTTATACTTTGGCCTTTTCACAATGTTGTTCCTTCTAACTCCTACACTCTACTCATTCTTTGACCTACAGCTTACTCATTACTTTCTCAGCTTTGCAGGGCTGTACTTTTTTCATGATACTATAACACTAAATTGTATTAATTACTCCTTAATGTCTCGCTTCCCCAGTAAAATAAGCCACATGAGGAAAGGGATCATGTCTTGTTTACCGCTATATTTTTGAGACCCTGACATCCATTCTGACACAGAGTAAGTGCTTAATAAATGTTTGGTTAAATGAACAAAGAATAATCTAACAATGTTATTCATGCTTAATTAGTAAATGTTCAGCTTTCCTAATTATATAATACCTGTCTCCCTCACCAGAATCATTTTCTAGGTCTAACCAATTACTTTCCCCTATGATGAATTTGCCATTAGAATTAGAATTAGAAAAAAAAAATCACTGAGTTCCTCAATCGCTACTGGACATGAAATAAATTTAACCTCAGCAGCAGTAAAAACACAAAAGATATTAGGGACAAAAAGCACAGAATGGAAAGCTTAGTGAAAATTACAAAGAGCCATTTAATGAAGATTTAAGATATGTTTACACTAATCAAAAGAACTTTTAGGGAAAATAATTGGCTTGTGCATTTACTGTCAACCTCAAAGTATACTCAAACCTGTAAAATAGTACAGTCTAGTTTATTTCATACCCTTTTAAGGCTGCTCTACCATTTTTACCGAAAACTCAATGGTAATCAGTCCTTCCTAGATAGGTTTATGTCCAGCTTCATTTTCAAAATAATTGACGGCTCCAGCAGTTCAT